TGCAACCCAAGATGGGTGACTGTCACTGGGTTAGAACTGCAAGAGATGCACAGTGTCTTTCAGCCAAAAAGCAATGTCTCCTTCAAACAATATTGTAATATGCCCAGAGCCAGTCCATTGGACACTAGAACAAAGTATTCAAGAACAAGAGCTATGGCCAGGTGCGATGGTGCACACCTGTAATCCCGTACTTGGGAGGCAGAGGCAGGGGGATCTCTATGATTTTGAGGTCAGACTTGTCTACATAGAAAGTTTCAAGCCAGCTAGGGCTATATAGTGAGGCCATATCTCAAACAGATAGACAGACAAAGATCTGGAACCCCAGGTAGGTTGGAGTGTGTAGTTCCCTTTCATGGGCAGGTGGCCTTTCTAAATCTGGGTTCGTCATCTGTCAATGGGGACGATAATGGTACCAAGACAAGAAGCTTGCTGTGGACATGGCATTTTCTCCAGGTCGATAGATTGCTGCTCAATGGCCAGAGCCTGTGTGTCCCACCCAGTACCCCCAGTTTCCATTCAGCTAGCTTGTCCTCTCGCTCTAGTATATGTTCACGCTGGCTCAAGGAGTATCACACAATAACGATGAAGAAAAACTGTTTAAAAAACAAAACAAAACAACTGGGTGGTGGCGGCACACACCTTTAATCCCAGCACTTGGGAAGCAGAGGGAGGTGGATCTCTGTGAGTTCGAGGCAGACTGGTCTACAGACTGAGTTCCAGGACAGGCTCCAAAGCTACAGAGAAACTCTGTTTAAAAAAAAAAAAAAACAAAAAAACACCAAAACAAAAACAGCCAGGCAGTGGTGGCACATGCCTTTAATCTCCACACTCAGAAAGGAGAGGGAGGCAGATTTCTGTGAGTTCAAGGCTATCTTGGTCTACACAGCCAGTTCCAGGACAGGCTCCAAAGCTACACAGAGAAACCTTGTCTTGAAATACAAAACACAAACAAACAAAAATACAAAAGCAAAATAGCAAAATAGACTGTAGAGATGACTCAGTGTTTAAAAGCACTTGCTGTTCTTGCAGAGAAACCAGGTCTATTTCCAGCACCTGCAGGGCTCACAAGCATTTGTAACTCCAGTTGTTCCAGAAGACCCAAGGTCCTCTTCTGGCTTCCACAGGCACGAGCCATGCTCAGGGTACACAGACATACGTGCGAGCAAAACACTCATGTAAAATAACAATAAAATAAATTTAGCCAGGTGTGGTGGCATGCACCTTTAATCCCAGCACTCGGGAAGCAGAGGCAGGTGGATCTCTGTGAGTTTGAGGCAGCCTGGTGTACAGAGCAAGTTTCAAGACAGACTCAAAAGCGACACAGAGAAACCCTGCCTCACCCCCCCCCCAAAAAAAGTCCCACTGGAATTGTAGGCGTGCACTACCATTCTCTGGTGGGCTTTTAGTTTATTTGGGTTTTATGCATGCTGGGGATCAGCCTGGGGTCTTGTAGGTTGTAGACAAGTCTGTACCACTGAGTCACACTCATGGCAGCTACATTTTCTTTTAATTTTATCCTAATAACCAGAATAATTTAGGGGCTAGAGGTATAGCTCAGGTGGTAGAGTGCCTACCTAACGTTCATGAAGCCCTCGGTTCAGTCCCATATAGCTCATGAGCCGAGTATGGTGTTCCACACTTCCCGTCTCAGCACTCAGGAGAAATTCCACGTGAGCCTCGACTATATAAGGCATCCTTGTCTAACCTAAGACACTTGGCAACCCAACTCTAAAAAGAAATTGGAGCATGTTGGTGACAACAAAAAGGAAGATTTTTTTGTCCATCTTTACATAAATTAATATTATGAAAGCAATGGTTTGCTTTTGTTTAGTTTTTAAATAAAAAATTAAAAATATTTTTAAAAGTAGTCTCAAAATATAGCTCTGGGTGTTCCTTGAAGCCCCTGTATTGACCAGGTTGGTCTCTAACTCACAGAGTTCTACCTGCCTCTGCACTCCGAGTACCAGGTCTAAAGATGTGTGTATACCACCGTCCCTAGCTAAAAATGTAATTCACAGTTGTTGTGGGACAATGATCTTGTACCCTGTAAAGATTTATCCTCTGTATTGCTTTAATAATACGCTGATTGACCAGTAGCTAGACAGGAATTATAGGTGGGGCAACTAGGATAGGAGAATTCTGGGAAGAAAAAAGGTTGAGTCTGCAGATGCAGAGGAAGCAAGATGAGAATGCCTCACTGATAAAAGGTACCAAGCCACGTGGCTAACACAGACAAGGATTATAGGTTAATGTAGGATGTAAGAGTTAATAAGAAGCTTGAGCTAATTGGTCAAACAGTTTATGATTAATGCAGACCTCTGTGTGTTTCTTTGGGATTGAACAGATGTGGGACCAAGCAGGACAGAAATCTCAGTCACCACACAGTGTTCTGCTTGCATGTTTGCCTGTGGCCAGAAGAGAACACCAGATCTCATTCTAGAGGGTTGTGAGCCACCATGCGGTTGCTGGGAATCAAACTCAGGACCTCTGGAAGAGTAGCCAGTGCTTGAAACCTCTGAACTATTTCTCCAGCCCCCTAAAAAATGTAATTTAAGAATGCCACCAAGACTGACCACCTGAGTTGGAGTCCCCAGAACTCACGTGGCACAAGTATAGAACTGGCTTCCAGGAGTTGTCTCCTGATCTACAGACACATGCAATGTGATGCACACCCTACACAAATAAATTCAATAAAGCCAATAAAAATGTTAACTGGAATATGGAGGTCCCATGAAGAGCACCATCCTCACTGATATGAGTGGAACAACCCTTTGGTGTCTAAGGCTAGTTAGTGTCAAGAATTTCTCTGAGGTGCTGACTATTATGCTGACCTGTTTGTTGATGGAGGTGGGTCATCTGTCTATCTGTTGTTTTCATTGGTTAATTAATAAAGAAACTGCTTGGCCCTCTGATAGGGTAGAATTTAGATAGGCAGAGTAAACAGGACAAAATGCTGAAAAAAAAAAAGCCAAGTCAGATAGTCGCCATGATTCTCCCACTCCAGACAGACACAGGTTAAGATCTTTCCTGGTAAGCCACCTTGTGGTATTACACAGATTATTAAAAATGGGTTAGATCAATATGTAAGAGCTAGACAATAAGAGGCTAAAACTAATGGGCCAGGCAGTGTTTAAAAGAATACAGTTTCCATGTAATTATTTTGGATAAAGCTAGCCGGGTGGTGGGACGCTAGCCATGCGGGTGGCCAGGTGCCGGGTATGCAGCCCCGCCGCTCTTATTACGACAGTTTGTATTGGATATAGCATCAACTCCAACATGCCCAAAGGAGAATCAGATGGCCACAGCTTGAGGTATGAGTCACATAGTCACTCCTTTTCCAAGTCTGTTTCTAACTACTTTAGGTGCTGTTGCACTAGAAGTTCCCATTCACGTTTTTGCTGTCACCCAGTCATCTCTCACCTATTGCTTCCTGGTTTCCTGGTTGCCTCAATTATTTTCTTTCTTTCTTTCTTTCTTTCTTCCTTCCTTCCTTCCTTCCTTCCTTCCTTCTTTCCTTCCTTTCTTCTTTTCTTTTCTTTTATTATCCTTTTTTTGTTTTTTTTCCTTTAATTTCACTTATTTTCAGGAAAGAATCTCTCTGTGCAGCCCTGGCTATCCTAGAACTTACTCTGTAGATCAGACTCATAGATTTGCTTGCCTCTGCCTCCCAAGTGTTGGTATTAAAGGCGTGTGCCACCACTGACTGGAATTATTTTCATCTTTTTAAGACAGAGTCTCATGCAACTGAAGATGGCCTCAAACTCAATATGTAGCTGAGAATGACTTGGATTTCTGCTTCCCTTGCCTGGATCTCCCACGTGATGACTCATGACCACGCACCATCCTATCCGGCTGCTGCCTGTATGCACAAACTCAAGTCTGACTCTCTGGTCATGTCGTGGCTCTGTCAAGGATTATCTATGTGATGTTTGGAAATCATTGAGCCTCTCTATGCCTTAGTTCTCTTATCCACAAGGTGGAGGTAATAAAGTATAGTAGTGCATACCTGTGATCCCAAAACTTGAAAGGTAGAGGCAGGAAAATGACAAGTTCTAGATCTCTATGAGTCGAGACCAGCCTGTTCTACATAGTGAGTTCCAGGATAGCAATGGCTATATATAGAGACCCTGTCCCCAAAACAACCACCATAAAACCAACCAACCAACCAACCAACGAACCCAAGAGTTTGCTATGCCTCCCAGTGCCATCATCATTACGCTCCTCTTTCTGAACGATTAGACCTCCTTGAACTTGCCACAAGATGGCAGTGTGGTAAGGTAAAAAGAGCAAGCTTGGTGAGCCACACAGTGCTGGGCAAAGCATAGCCTGCTCTGCAGAGCAGCTGGCCTGGCTGGCTGAAGGCTGAGCTTGCAGGAAAGATGAACAGCATGTGTTGGACCCAGGAACTAGAAATACAGTTGCTATTGAATTGCATGGCTTTCCCATCATCATAAAAGTGATGAATGAATGGGAGGTTGAGCCGTTGGCGGTTGGAGACTATATTAGGACTATAACTCACAAAGATAATCATAAAACCTAGAGGTATACTCCGTGTGTGAGCCTGGGTCTGGCTTTAAACTCCTGATCGTCCTTCCTTGAAGTCGGGCATGCGTCTGCTACTTCTTTTTATTGTTGTTTTATTTTGTGTGTTTGGGTGTTTTGCTGAATGCCCACAGAAGAGGGAACTGGATCCCACAGAACTGCAGAGAGTTGTGAGCTATCATCTGGGTGCTTGGATTCAAACCCAGGTCTTCTGGAAAAGGAGCCAGTGCTCTCAACAGCTGAGCTATCTCTCCAGCCCAAGAAAGTATAACCCCAGTTCCCCTTGCCTCTTAAGAATGTCAAAGGCTCCCTCTGCTGGACAACCTCTGAAGCTTGGGCTGAGCACCAAAGACTGACAAATCTAGGCTCAGTAAAGGTTGATTGCCCTTTAAGGGGCAGTACCTAGCTTCTGGTTGCCATGGAGACAACTAGCCACAGACTGACTGACCTCAATCAGCATGTCTTCCAAAGTTTTCCCCACAGGTGGGGAATGGGCTGTTGTTCTGTGGATGGAAAGAGAAGAGATATTTCTCCCTCACAACCTAACCTGAGCGTGGTCTTAGTGAATTCAGCTCCTGGGGACAGGGATCAGAACTAGGGTGCCCTGCGTACCCTGTGCTTTTCCCCAGGATCTGACATCTTATCTTCTCCTTCCTCTTGTAGGCTCCCGAGCCAAGGACAACCAACGTGCAAGTCAGCTGCTGTTGCAGCAGCAGCAGCAGCAGCAACAGCATCAAGAGCAACAGTCATTCCCAGAGGCCAACGCTGAAGCCATCAACTTCCTCAACTCCTTCCGTGAGCCAGATGGTGGGGTGGGCACAGGGAGAGCTGCGAGTCTGGGGAAGAAGGAAGAGAGACTCAGCCCTGTCTCTCTTCATTGGATTTGCTCATGTTTGTGGAGGGACAAGACTCTGGGGGCGGGTCACCAGCTGGCACCTGCTGACAACGGGGAGTGGTCACAAAGCTGGCAAGGAGATAGCAGACATGGCAAGGGGTAAGTGGGTGCTTTGGGGTCTAGAAGCTGGACCCGGAGGGAGCTTCTCTCACCAAACAGGGCTGGAGAAACTGCTACTCTTCTTCCCCGAGACTCTGGCCATCGTCTCAGACACAGGCGAGCCTCAGGGAGAGCTGACCATCGAGGTGCAGAAAGGGAAATACAAGGATGAACAGGGCATCATGACCCACTGTCTACTGGTTCACGCCTGTAGCCGAGGCTTCATCGATAAATCGCCGTGTGGAAACTCCCTCCTAGGTAGAGTTCAGCTGCCCTGTACCACATCTTCCCTCCACAGCCCCCACCCCAGTCCATGTGTCCTCAGTCAGGACCTGCAGCCCTTGACTTACACGGGTACTAGGGCAAGACATGGCGGGGAGGACAGAGCAAGGCTGACCCTCCTGTCATTTTCCCATGGCCACATTGCACCAGTCTGGGCCAGCCTTCCCTAGGGTCCATTTCAGACCCCTGTCTCCTGTGACATCAGCACTTGCCTCCCTGTACCCCAGGCTACCTAACCTATAACCTGGAGCTGATGGAGCAGCACAGTCAAGAGTTCATTAAGGTACTTACTCCCAGCCGCCCCGAGCCTTGCTTCCGGGTTGAGGGTAAGCAAGAACACAGACCCTGTGGGGGTGGGAGGGACCCCAGGAAAGCGTCACACCACTGTCACCCACTGATCTGCCCCTCCGGCACACACAGCTAGATGAGCAGCCACCTCCATTACTGCTGTTAATGTTCTATGGAGCCCAACCCACCGGGGCCTCCTCCGGCCTGGAAGCCTGAACACTTCCCAGGGCCATGTGGCCTGGCCTTTCCCAGAGCCTGGCTATTCCCTGGAGCCTGTCACCACTAACCTCTTCAGTGTCCTGGCTCGAAACCCCTCACCCAGTCTTCAGTAACTTCCTCTGTGGGGCCATGACCTAGCTAAACACGGAAGATGACCTGGGCCTTCCAGGCTTCTCAGAGAATCTGTTCCCAGCTTCAAGCCTGTTTGCTTTCCTATCGCATAGTACGGCCTTACTCCTGACCGCCACCATAAACGGAAGCCTTCGTCCTTCCTTCCTTTTTTTTTGTTTTGTTTTGTGTTTTGTTTTTCAAGATAAAGTTTCTTTGTGTCCTGGAACTCACTCTGCAGACCAGGCTGGCATCTAACTCAAAGATCCACCTGCCTCTGCCCCCCCAGCACTGGGTATAAAGGCATGCAATATTACCACCCAGCTCTTTCTTCCTCTTCTTCTTCTTCTTCTTCTTCTTCTTCTTCTTCTTCTTCTTCCTCTTCTTCTTCTTCCTCTTCTTCTTTTTTTTTGAGACAGTCTCATAGCCGGACTGACCTCAAACTTGACATGTAGCTAAGGATGACTTTGAACCCCTGATCCTCCTGTTTTTTCCCTTCCAAGTGCTGGACCACTACATCAGGCTTTGAGACTTTTCATCCATCTGTTTGTCTGTCTTATTTTTAAGCTTTTTGCTTTATTGAGACAAGGATTGGAGGAAGACAAGTTGGGTTCCAGCTTAATCCTCCTGCCTCAGCCTCTCAAGTGCTATGATTATAGAAAGTACATCACCATGGACAGCTGTTTGTCATTTTACATTTTTTCTTGGGCTGGGCGGTGGTGGCGCACGCCTTTAATCCCAGCACTCAGGAGGCAGAGGCAGGCGGATCTCTGTGAGTTCGAGGGCAGCCTGGTCTACAAGAGCTAGTTCCAGGACAGGAACCAAAACTACAGAGAAACCCTGTCTCGAAAAATCAAAAAAAAAAAAAAAAAAAAAAAAAAAAAAACCAAACATCTTTTCTTATTTGGGGGAAGGACACATATGTGGAAATCAGTCAGAGGGCAGCGTTTGGAAGTTGGTTCTCTCCTTCCACCAGAGACTGTGGGAGCCAGACTCCAGCTGAAGTTGTCAGCTTTGTGTGGCGAGTACTCTTACCCACTGAGACCACTGAGACACCTTGCTGGCCCTGGTTATCATTTTTATTTTACTTTTTGCTTTTTTTTTAAATATTTATTTATTTATTTATTTATTTATTTATTTATTATATATACAACATTCTGCCTCCATGTATGCCTGCAGGCCAGAAGAGGGCACAAGACCTTATTACAGATGGTTGTAAGCCACCATGTGGTTGCTGGGAATTGAACTCAGGACCTCTGGAAGAGCAGGCAATGCTCTTAACCACTGAGCCATCTCTCCAGCCCCTATCATTTTTATTTTAGATCCAAGTCTTTACACTTTTATTTTGTCTTTTATAAAGAATAAGACTGAAGCTGGGTGGTGGTGGCACACACCTTTGATCCCAGCACTCCAGGAAGTAGAGGCTGGAGGATCTTTGTGAGTTCAAGGCTAGCCTGGTCTACAGAGTGAGTTCCAGTACAACCAGGGGTATACAGTGAAATCCTGTCTCAGAAAAAAGAGAGAGAGAGAGAGAGAGAGAGAGAGAGAATAAGACTGGCCGGGCAGCGGTGGCACATGCCTTTAATCCCAGCACTTGGGAGGCAAAGGCAGAGGGATCTCTGTGAGTTTGAGACCAGCCTGGTCTACAAGAGCTAGTTCCAGGACAAGCTCCAAAGCTACAGAGAAACCCTGTCTCGAAAAACAAAGAAACAAACAACAACAACAAAAAAATCAAAACAAGACTGATTGTATTTATCAGTGTTTGGGAGGTTAAGGCAGGAGAATTGCCGCAAGTACAAAACTATCCTGGGCTACATAGGGAGTTCCAGGTTATTCTGAACCATTTTGTCTCAGAAAAACAAAACACAAACAAACAGAAGAAAGGGTGGGCACTGGTCTCTTAAGGGTGAGCGCTTGATTCACGCATATGCTCTGGCCTTCAGTTTCCCATCCTCCCCATGAAGCGGAAGATGAGTATCCTGAAGCAGGATGACCAGATGGTTGTGACCAGAAGTGTCAAGGAGGGTGAGGTAAGAGTGAAACCTCCGCAGGGACAAGTGTGTGTGAGGCCAGGTGCCTAGACCAAGCCCTGGAGACGAACTCCACACTCAATACCCTGCTCGAACACGTCCTGCCTCTTCTGCTCTTCTGAGCTCTGTCTCTGACTCAGATCTGCCCCAACAGGAAACTAAGACCGCAGTCTCCGTCTTCCCCTGTCAATCACTTAAGGGCTTTGTCTCCAGCGCTGCCAATCTGGTGCTTCTGAGAGTGATGGCCTGGCAGCGGTCAGTGCCCAGCGGTGCTCGCTTCCTGGCCTTGGACACGGAGGGCAAACTATGCTATTGCACCTATGTGAGTACTCTCTCTGGGAAGGGAATTGGCCTGACATGGTGGTCCAGTACTTGGGAGGGGAAAGCAGGGGAATCAGAAGTTCAAAGTCATCCTTAGCTACATGTCAAGTTTGAGGTCAGTCCGGCTATGAGACTGTCAAAAAGGGGGGGGGGGCAAACTAAAATGATCACAAAGACCACGGAGGTGGAAAAGACAGGTGTAAACGTGGAGAGAGCTGCTACCGAGGTGAGTGGGCATTGAGCCATGAGAGTAGAATGCCATAAGCCAGGGCAACGGCAATTAAGAACTACACTGAACAGAAGGAAGGTTGAGGATGGAGCAGGTGGAATTAGTGAGGAATGGGAAGGTGGAAAGCAACCTTCTTTGCATGAGCTTCAATACAGAAGAAAGAAATATAAAGTTATTCTGCCTTCTAAATATACATCCTCTAAGGCTGGAGAGATACCTCAGTGATGAAGCACGAGGACCTGAGTTTGACCCTCAAAACCATATATGTGGGTGCACACTTATAATCCCAGACCTGGAGAGGTGAAGACAGCCTGGCTAAATCAGGCAATCTCGGGTCCCAGTGGGGTCTCAGTGAGACTCTGTTTCCAAAAAACAAGGTGGAGGTAGAGAGAGAACTCAGTGGTTAAGAGCACTTACTGGTCTTGCAGAAGACCCTGGATCAGTTCCCAGCACCCACCTAGAAGCTCACAACCTTCTGTAATCAATGTTACAGGGGATCTAATGTCCTCTTCTGGCCTCTGAGCTCTGAGGGCACTAGGCACACACTCACTCAATAAGTACACATACGTGTGTGTGTGTGTGTGTGTGTGTGTAGGCAAAACATTCATATACATGAAAAAATAAAAATAAACATTTAAAAGTAAATAAAATAAGGTGGACAACTCCTGAAAAACAACACCTGAAGTTGTTCTCAGTCACACACAGACATGCATGCATGCCAAACACCCATACACATATGGATCCACAAGCACATATATACCTGCAGGGATGCATGAACATGTACACACACACACATGAGCACGAGCACATATATACCTTCAGGCATGCACGAACATGTATACACGCACACAGACACACAAGCACGTCTATACCTGCAGGGATGCACAAACATATACACACACACACACACACAAAATACAGCATCTAAAGCCAGTCATGTACCTATAATCCCAGTACTTGAGAAGTGGAGACAGAAGGCCAAGGAGTTCAAACTCATTGTTAGCTATCTATTTATTACGAGGCTAGCCTGTGCACCATGAGATCCTGTCTCAACGACAAAAATCATACCTTATCTAGGGTTTGAAAGTGCTTGGCAAATGTTTCACCTCAGTCCAAAGATATACCTTCTTTTTTCAACAGGTTTTGTGTGTGTGTGTGTGTGCATGTGTGTGCATGTGTGTGCATGTGTGTGGTCCAAAGTGGCTTTATCTTCTCAATCCTCCCACATTAACCTCCCAAATGCTGGGATTTCAATTGCATGTGTGTACATCTGGATGGCACACCTGACTTTCTGTGTGTGTGTGTGTGTGTGTGTGTGTGTGTGTGTATGCACTAGCACAAATGTACATGCAGGTTTGTGCAGGTGGAGGACAGCGGTCAATGCAGGTGTTTCTTTCTTCCTTCCTTTCTTTCCTTCTTTTGGTTTCTGAGATAGGGTCTCTCTGTGTAGCCCTGACTGTCCTGGAACTAGCTTTGTAGACGAGGCTGACCTTGAACTCAGAGATCTGCTTGCTTCTGCCTTCCAAGAGCTGGGATTAAAGATGCCTGCCCAGCTCAGGATTTTTTCTGAAGCACTGTCTGCCTGGTGAGACAGGCCCTCTCATTGGACAGCCCCTTCCTCTCCACCCTGATGCTCGTCCCTTTAATAAAATAAGCCAGCCAACAGCACTCCTCCATTGAATGGCTTGGGCAGGAGGTGGCAGCGGGTGGCCAGAACTGGCTGTGAAGAATCCCCAACTTATCTAGAGAATGCAACTCAAACTTTGTGGCACACGTGAGCAACTGGAATGCTAAGTGTGACTTCTCACCGGTGAGCAGGAACGAGGAGAAGGACAGGGTCACCGTGGTGAGCAACCACCTCACCATAGCTCCCACTTTGGTTGCTGCAGCAATCCCTGGGCTTCCAGACAATCCAACTGGGCAACCAGCAGGCTGAGATGTTCATCGTGGAACAAACCATCCACTCTGAAGAGGACATCCCCTTCTCCTGTCAATTCTACTTGCTCTCTGATGGGTGAGCCACTGGTGGGGAGGACCGAAGTGACAGGGTCACACAAAGTATGAGTGCTCTGACCATGAAGAAAGGACATTCAAGGCTGGGCGGTGGTGGTGTACACTTTTAATCCCAGCACTTGGGAAGTAGAGGACGGCAGATCTCTGTGAGTTCGAGGCCAGCCTGGTCTATAGAGCTAGTTCCAGGACAAGCTCCAAAGCTACAGAGAAACGCTATTTTGAAAAACAAGCAAACAAACAAAGAAAAAAGAAAGGACATTCATGGGATGGAGTGGGGCACAGGGCTCACTATTATTCCCGTGATACTGCCAGGAAAATGTGTCATTGAAGTCTGGGTGTACCTTTGCTTTGTCCATCTCATTTGCTTAAAAAAAAAAAGTGAGCCCAGGTGAGCCTCAAATCTCAATCTTCCCGTTTAGTACCCTAGGTCCTGGGGCTATAAATGTGTGTTATCTTTTAAGGCAAGGCCTGATGCTTGTCGTTGTCTGGGACAGGACCCAAGAACCACAAAGATAAGGAGAGGAAGCAGATTAAACAGTGGCCTCAAGGCAGCTCTCATGGGGACACCGTAGTGTCTTACCTCAGCTGCCATGACAAAACACCACAAGATGAGCTGGGAACAGGTGTTCATGCCTCTCATCCCAGCCCTTGAGAAGCTGAGACAGGAGGATGGTCCTAAGTTTGAGGACTGTCTACAATAGTAAGAACTCCAAAACAGGCAGGCCCTTTAAGGGTGGCTCAGCTGGGAAGGCAGCGAGGGAGCTTCCTACCAAGTCTGATGACCTGAGTTCAATTCCTGGAAATCACAGGGCAGGAGAGAACCACAAGTTGTCACCTGACCCCGGGAGGTGGTGGCGCACGCCTTTAACTCAGCACTTGGGAGGCAGAGGCAGGCAGAACTCTGGGAGTTCGAGGTCAGCCTGGTCTACAAGAGCTAGTTCCAGGACAGGCTCCAAAGCTACAGAGAAACCCTGTCTCAAACAAACAAAACAAAACCAAGTTGTCACCTGACTTCCACACAAGCATGTGCCTGCCTGGTCATACACACACACACATACACACACACACGATAAATTAATGCTTAAAACAAAAACCACTGGATGGCTTAAACAATAGCCAGTAGGGTTGGTTCCTGGTGAGATTTCTGGCGGCTGCCACCACTCTGTGCCAGTGGGTAGACAGCTCTCTCTCTGCTTTCTCTTTCTGTTAGGAGGATGCCAATCCTCTTATTAGAGCCCTGCCATTATGCCCTTCATTTGACCTTAGTCATCTCCCAGAAGGCTCCCATCACACTGTGGGGTAGGTGGGTAGGTGCCACAATTCATTACCCTCAGCACCCTTCTGCCACCAGCCGGCGATACAGGAGACTCCCCAACTTATTCTGTATTGCCCTGCAGGCACCTGGCTAAGAGAGTCCAGGTGGGCTCCCCAGGGTGTTGTATCATCACTAAGATGCCCCTCTTGAGGGAAGAGGGTAAGTGACTCCGGATAGCGAGGGACAGTGAGGGGAAGGTGGGAGGATCCTGGCCTCTCTCTTGTTCCGGGAAAGATCCAGCGGTAGGGGTGGGACAGGGGCCTTCAAACAGCCTCGGAGGGTTAGGGTGGACCTCTGCCATGAGTACCTCTCAGAACAAAGCTCATACTTGTGAGTTCCTGGGATCCCCCCTGTGTACGCGAGGGATGAGTACACAGGTCTCTTGGTCACTCCACTTAGATGTGATTGAGCCTCCGCCCCAGTTTGAGAAGAAGCCCCTGGTGTGGGAGGAAGACCTGGAGTTATACTCGAAATTCCTGAACCGGAAGGTGAGAAGTGGCAGCAGCCTAGGGGTCCACCTGCTTTCCTACTATGGATGGGGAGAGCGGAATGCACTTGTCTGGGAGATAAGGGGTCCCAGCCCAGGAGCTCCCAGTCAGCTCCGGTGGGTGACCGCCCCATGCCCCACCAGGAGCAGCTGCGCCTCAGCCACACCAGCTATCTGCGGCAGCACCCCGAGGCCCAAGCGCTGATCTCCGAATTCTTGCTTTTCCTGCTGCTCCGCCGGCCGGAAGACGTGGTCACCTTTGCTGCTGAGCACTTCGGGTCCTTCGAGGTGCTGCGCCCGCCGGTCCCTGCCCTGCGTTCCTCACACCGGCCCAGCCCTTTCCGCCCACTGGAGTCCGAGGAGGAGGAGGAGGAGGAGCAGGAGGAGGAAGAGGAAGAAGAAGAGGAGGAAGAGCAAGAGGAGGAATACGAGGAGGAATACGAGGAGGAATACGAGGAGGAATACGAGGATGGCGACTACTTTTACGCCGACGATGATGACTATGACGATGAAGACAACGACGGTGTCGACGACGACGACGACGACGACGACGACGTACAAAGCGACAAGGATGATGACGACGACGAAATCGACGAGAATGATGACGAAAGCCAGGATTTGGATCTGGACAACCAGATTTTGGATCTGGAAAATGACTAGGTAGACGGCTGGGAGCGAGCCCCTGGGACTGGCAGGATCCTGGCTGTGGATTCAGTGGGAGATAGCAGAGTCCTCCCCCCTCCTGCTCTGCCAGCAGGGACTGTCTCTGGCCAGCCCCTCTTGTTAAAAAATGTGAAGCTTTAACTTTGTTTACCCAGTGAGGTTCATCTTTTCTTCCTAGATGCTATTTTCACGGTTGTGACCGTTTCAGAGGAGCGAAAATTAAGGCCTGTAGTCAGATGTGTTGACACACGCCTGTAGCCAGCGCTCAGGAGGCTGACACAGGAATACTGCTGAGAGCTGGTAGCAAGCTAGGGCCACACGACAAGGCCCTGTCTCAAAATTAAATTAAAAATTAAGGAAGACGGGGTGAGGAAGTGCGTTGGAGTCCCGTGTAGTAAGATCCCGTAGACAGGAGAACAGGATTTTAGCCTGGAGTTGGCCTGGAAAGCCAGCCTTAGCAGCCTGAATCTAAACACAATCGCCACCACCCAGGAAAGAATGCAGGAATGTGAGCAGGCCTTGGAACACCCCTTGCCCTGCTCAGCTTCGTAATGCTTCCATTCCTCCACCGCCAGTCAGTACACACGAGACTCCCCCAGACTGTGCAAGGGCTCCCCAGTTACCCATAGAGAAGACAAAACAGACGTACTCATCACTACCCCAGGTCCCTTGCTCGCCCCCAGTTCTGGCCAATGGCTTGTCTATCTGATGATGGCTGTGGACTGGGTGGTGGTAGACAGGTCTTCCGAGGCAGTGGGTAGTTGGGGTGCAGGCACTGTGCCTCCATTCAGGCCTCTGGTCATCAGGCCTCAGCCTTGCTGCTTTAACATGAGAGAGCCTGGAGGAATAATGGATGACTGGCAGGAGGGCCGCAAGGCTGAGGAATATTATAGTTAGAGGAGGGCAGGATCTGAGGGGTCAGAGGTCAGGAGGAGTCGCTTCAGAAGACTTCAGAGAGAGCTGCCACTTGAGCCTTGCAAAAAAAAATATTTCTATTTTATTTACTTTTGCTTTTCGTGGTGTCTCTGTGTCCTAGTTGTCTCGGAACTAGCTCTATAGACCAGGCTGGCCTTGAACTCACAGAGTTTTACCTGCCTCTGCCTTCCAAGTGCTGGGCTTAAAGGTGTGTGCCACCACCGCCTGGAGAGCCTTGCACATTTTTTATGTCGTTTTCCCCTCCTTTATTAAAAAGAAATGCATTCACAAACCAAGGTGGTGGTGCGCACCTTTAATCCCAGCACTCGGGAGGCAGAGGCGGGGTGTATGAATTCAAGTATAGCATGGTCTACTGAGCTAGGTTCAAGACCTGGCCTTGTTGTTCTTTGGCCCTTTTTTTGGGGGGGGGCTTGTTTGTTTTAAAACTTTTTTTTTAAAGATATTTATTTATTTATTATGTATACACTATTCTGTCTGTGTGTATGTCTGCAGGCCAGAAGAGGGCACCAGACCTCATTACAGATGGTTGTGAGCCACCATGTGGTTGCTGGGAATTGAACTCAGGACCTTTAGAAGAGCAGGCAATGCTCTTAACCACTAAGCCATCTCTCCAGCCCCCTAAAACTCTTTTAAGTAGCTCAAAACCACAGAGATCTGCCTGCCTCTGCCTCCCAAGTGCTGGGATTAAAGGTGTAACTCACCACCCTGTCCTCAACTTCCCCTTTTTGATAGTAGAAACATCGCTGCTGCATTGACCATCTCTGTGACTGCGTCTTTGTGTACATTAGCGATTGTTTTCTTCTTTTTTATTTGAAACAGATTCCACGGCTCAGCTGGGTTAGAACTCACTGTAGCCAGCTGTGGGACTGCACACCTTTAATCCCAGCACTCGGGGAGCTGGCTCTCTGTGCGTTGGAAGCCAGACTGATCTGTATAGTGAGAATTCCCAGTGTACAACAGCAGGCCGGCCTTGACTCTGTGACCCTCCTGCTTCGGCCTCCCACGTGCTGGGATGTCCAGTACAGACCACCACACCTGGTTCAGCAGTTGCATCCTTAAAAAATCGTTCTGACTAATGAAGTTATTGAATCGCTTTGAAGGCTCTTGTCATATTGCATATTGGACTTCAGCACTGCTCTCATCAAGGGCTCATGGGCATTTCAGGAAGAGGAAGGGACCTGCACAAATCAAACCGGAAGCGGATATGGCCCACACAGCTTTCTACCAAGCCAGATGTGGCGCGTGGTCCTGTAACCCAGGCTGCTTAAGCGATGGAAGCAGAAGGATGACAAAGTCAAGGATTGCTTGGGCTACAGAGTGAATTCCAGACCAGCCTGAGCAATTTAGTTAGGTCTTGTCCCAAAACAAGAAGTTAAAAAAAAAAAAAACAAAAAAAGGAGAGGGGTAGGCTGGGGACATATCTCAGTGGTAGAATGCCTAGCTACTACCGTTGAGGACCTAGTGCTGAGAACCAACAGTGAACAAACCCATAACTCGGTGGTAGAATGCCTAGCTACTACCGTTGAGGACCTAGTGGTGGTAGAATGCCTAGCTACTACCATTGAGGACCTAGTGCTGAGAAGCAGCAATGAACAAACCCATAAATCGGTGGTAGAATGCCTAGCTACTACCGCTGAGGACCTAGTGCTGAAAACCAACAGTGAACAAACCCATAACTTGGTGGTAGAATGCCTAGCTACTACCGTTGAGGACCTAGTGGTGGTAGAATGCCTAGCTACTACCGTTGAGGACCTAGTGCTGAGAACCAGCAATGAACAAACCCATAAATCGGTGGTAGAATGCCTAGCTACTACCGTTGAGGACCTAGTGGTGGTAGAATGCCTAGCTACTACCGTTGAGGACCTAGTGCTGAAAACCAATAATGCACAAACCCAGGCTGTCTATCCTTATGAAGGTGCAGAGAGGTCCTCTGTTGGGCTTTCCTTTGCTTAACACTTTGGCTGAATCTCATGTTTCCTGGAAACCATCACCATTGGGACATCTCCATCTGAAATGCTCTGCTGCTTAATCACTGCAAATAGCCTGTAGTTTAGTTAGGAACTCTCCAGAGCGAGTTCCAGGACCATGAGAAGGTTTTGCTGACTGAATTAGTCCATCAAGACTGTTATAAGAAAATACCCCGGGGCTGGAGAGTTGTTTTAGTGATTAAGAGGCCTTGTTCTTCCAAAGGACCCAGATTTGATTCCTAGCACCCACATGAAGGCACATCTCTTTCTCAGGCACCAGGCATGCATGTGATGTCCAGACATGCATGCAGACAAGGCACTCATAGACATGCATGCGGACAAGGCACTCACAGACATGCATGCGGACAAGGCACTCACAGACATGCATGCGGACAAGGCACTCACAGACATGCATGCGGACAAAGCACCTATACGAATACAATAAATCTAAAACATTAAAAAAGAAAAGAAAATGAATTTGAGCCCGGTGTGGTGGCACATACCTGTAATACTGGCACTTTGGAGGCTGAGGCAGGAGAATCTTGAGTTCAAGGTCAGCCTGTCAATGAATGGAAACCCTGTCTACACACACATACACACACAAAAAAAAAAACCAAAAATATCTAAACTGTGAAATCTATAAGCAATAGAAACAGAAATTTAGCCAGGCATGGTGGTATACACCATGATTTATTTATTATGTGTGTGCGTTTACATATGCATGTGCAAAGCCCTCAGCATCCAGAAGAGGACCAGATCCCCTAAAGCTGGAGTTACAGGCAGTTGTAAGTGGCCTGACATGGGTATTGGGAACTGGACTTGGTCCTCTGCAAAAGTAGTACATGCTCTTAACTGCTGAGTCATCTCTCCAGCCCAGGTCTGCTTGCTTGTTAGTTTGCTTGCTTGGTTTTTGTTTTCTGTTTTTGTTTGTTTGTTTGGGGGGTGTTGAGACAGGGACTCATGAAACATAGGCTAAGTACCTTTCCTGTGCCTGTTGTATTCAGGTCTATGTCACCACTCTGTTCATGCTGGGGATGGAACCCACTGTGGTGGCAGGCACTCTATTAAATGAGCTATTTCCTCCGCTAGCCCCTCAAACCTCTTGTTATAAGGGCAGTGATCCCATTTTTGAATGTGACCTATAACACCCCCAAGGGTCCTGCCTCTTAATGCCAACATCACCTCGGTAGTGACTTAACACACAAATGTTGTGGGGTCACGAACCTTCAGACGATAGTGATGAGCCACTGTTCATCATGAGTTCATGACATTTGGAATTCCAAAGATCCGCCGGGCAGTGGTGGCATGCACCTTTAATCCCAGCACTCGGGAGGCACAGGTAGGTGGATCTCTGTGAGTTCGAGGCCAGCTGTATACAGAGTGAGTTCCAGGACAGGCTCCTAAGCTACACAGAGAAACCCTGTCTCAAAAACAAAAACAAAACAAAAGAGTTGCCTATAGGAAACCTGCTGGCATTCTAAAGAACTGAGGTCAGTCAGCTCAGTTATAGTCCAGTGCAGAAGAAGGCTGGTCTTTTGTTCCCTGCTGCCCAGACCCGAAGAGTCACACAGAGACTATATTAATTATAATACTGCTTGATCTTTTAGCTCAGACTTTTTATTGGCTGGCTCTTACATCTTAAATTAACCCACTTCTATTAATCTATGTATCACCATGAGGCTGCAGCCTACTGGTAGGATTCTGGTGGGCATCCTTCTCCTTTGGCAGCTACATGGAGTCCCTTTAACTCTGCCTACTCTCTCTATATCTCTTCCAGCCTGGCTATATTCTGCCCTGCCATAGGCCAAAGTAGCTTCTTTATTAGTCAACGGTAATAAAACATATTACAGCAGACAGAGGGGAATCCCACATCAGTCCAGGCTGGTTCTAAAGTCACTTTGTTGTCCAGGCTGACTTTGAACTTGTGGTAATCCTCCTGTATCCTCTGCCCAAGTTCCATAACAGCAGGCATGTAACACTACACCCAGTCGACATGATGCTTTGGGGGTTATCTTTATTATCTAAAGCATCAGAATTCCATGACGTTTTAATCTCAAGTCATATTCTATTACATATCTATACTATATGGTATCTATCCATGTGTTGACAGACATGTGGGTATTTTCCACTCCTGGGCTAATGTAAATAATGTTGCTAGGAGCTGGCGTTCAAACGTCTGTTTGCATTTCCGCTTTTACTATATTTGGAATACCGACGTGGACCCAATGTCATGGACCATTATCCTGGGCCATAATGTCCTCACTTTCTCTGGATTCATTCGCTGTGAAAGGATGCACAGACATGTGGATATATCAAGTCCCGTGCAGTTGGTTCACATGTGGGTTACATATCTACCACATCGCAGCACCACAAGTCACATTTACAACCACATCCATCCTCCACCCGATCTATCCCTAACTTGGGGCAACCACAGATCTGATCTTGATTTTTAGGATGTTGCTCTTGTAAAAGCACTCTTTAAATGGGACGACAAGGGTGGGGGAGATGGCTCAGAGGGTAAGAGCATTTGCTCTGCCAGCATGAGGACCCGAGTTCTAATCCTCAGCACCCATATAAAAAAAAAAAGTCAGGCATGGCTGCAAAGCTGGAGTTTGGAGACAGGTGGATCCTGAGCCAGCCAGCTTGACAAAACGGTCCTGTTTCAGAGGCATATGCTACGCCAGCATTCTACCATTCAAGGTAAGACAGAGTGAGCGAGGAAAACACTTGATATATTGTTCTGGGCTCTGTATGAGCGTGCAACAGTGCACAGTCACACACTCACATATATCACACATATCCACACACCCACCATCCTCAAGGTGCTCTCTTTCAGCATACACACACACACACACACACACACACACATAGATACAAGGCACATACCTATAATCTCAACGTTCAGGATGCAGAGGCAGGAGGATTGTGAGTTTGAAGCCAGTTTGCAAAACATAGACTCTGCCTTGAAAAAGCCACAGGTCAATGGCAGGACACTTGCCTGATGTGTGCAAGGCTCACTCAGAACTCTATTCTCCTGTGTAAGCCTCTGGAGTACTGGGGACGGAGACACGTGCTATCATGTTGAACTAATAGGTAAGCTTTTGAAAGTGATTTTTTTTTTAAACCTAAGAACGTGCTATGCCAGCATTCTGCTGATAAACTACTTCCCTACTATAGTTTTCCTTTGCATTTTGACATAGGATTTCACTAAATTGTTAGAACCTGGCACTCAGTTGACAGCCCAGGCAGGTTTTGAACTTTTTTTTTTAAGATTTATTTATTAAGCCGGGCAGTGGTGGCACACACCTTTAATCCCAGCACTCAGGATGCAGAGGCAGGCAGATTTCTGTGAATTCGAGGCCAGCCTGGTCTACAAGAGCTAGTTCCAGGACAGGCACCAAAGCTACAGAGAAACAATTGCAGTGGGTTTTTGATCCTACTGCACGTACTGGCTTTGTGGGAGCCTAGGCAGTTTGGATGCTCACCTTACGAGACCTGGATAGAGGTGGGCAGTCCTTGGGCTTCCCACAGGTCAGGGAACCCTGATTGCTCTTCGAGCAGATGAGGGAGGGGGACTTGATGGGGGAGGGGGAGGGAAATGGGAAGCGGTTGCGGGGACGAGGCAGAAATCCTTAATAAATAAATAAATTTAAAAAAAATCAACAAAAAGAAAAAAGAAAAAGAAAAGCCAGGGGAAAAAAGCTTTTTAGCCAGGTGGTGGCGGTGCATGCCTTTAATCCAGCACTCTGGAGGCAGAAACAGGCGGATCTATGAGTTCGGGGCCAGCCTATGCTACAGAATGAGCTTCAGGACAGTACAGGCACCAAAGCCCAAAGCTACAAAGAGAAACCCTGTCTCAAAAAAACAAAACAAAACAATTTTTTTATTTATTATATATACAGTGTTCTCGCTGCATGTATGCCTGCAGGCCAGAAGCTCAGAAGCAGGCACCAGATCTCATTACAAATGGTTGTGAGCCACCATGTGGCTGCTGGGAATTGAACTCAGGACCTCTGGAAGATGAGCCAATGCTCTTAACTGCTGATCCATCTCCCCAGCCCTCGAGGCTCTGAACTTTTCATCCAGTGTCGTTTCCTGAAGATTTACCCACGTTATTATATGTAGTAACACTTTGTTTCCGTTGTTGACAAGCAGTGATTCACTCACCCGTTGATGGACAGCTGGAGTAATTCCAGCTGTGGGCTACTACATATATGTTGCGATAAGCTTTGTGTGCAGGTTATTGTTTGGACATATGTTTAATTTCTCTGGGGTGAATGCCCAGGAGTTCATTCTGTGGCATGGACGCAGCATTCGCCCATGGCAGGACCTGGGAAATCTTTTCTTCTGAGACCCTCATGGGTGCACAGGACAGACGGACTCTCTACCTTCCTCCTACTTCATATTAGGTCAACTCACCACCCTGGAGCTCCAGACTGAGATGAAAGGCCTGAGTGTGCGTGTGCGTGTGTGTGTGAGAGTGTGTGTGTGTGTGTGAGAGAGAGAGTGTCTGTGTGTGTGAGTGTGTCTGTGTGTGTATGTGTGTCTGTGTGTAGTGGGTGAGTGATTACCATGAGATGTGACCACTAATACCCCAAAAGGCAGGAAGTACCTGAAATCAGAGGTAATTTGGGGGTACCTGGAACAAGACCAGAGATATAATGGAGCACAGGGTGGCCAGGAGAGGAAGAAGGGGCAAAGCTGTGGGTTACCAGCTCCTTCCGCCACCACTGGCCACTTCTGTGTTTGGTGTTTCGAAACAGCGAGTGTGTGAAATTGTGGGCATCCACTGGTGATGTGGAGGTGGGAGTCCGGCGAGGATGGGAAGGGTGTGGGTTCCCCCACTCTTACTCACTTGTACCAGCACCCATAGAAGGGGACAGATTGAGACGCTGCTGGGCCTGCTGACATACACAGACGGTGTCAGACACCTGCGTCCTCATGATTCGTGAGTGCTGACCTCTAGGGACCTAGTGTAATTTGAGTGGGGGAGGGTGAATGAGGAGATTTGAGGCAGCAAGGAGGACTTATGGTCTCTGTGGGGGCTCTAGTCTGCCAGACACACTGGAGTCAGGCAGTTCTGAGGATTAAAGCTGAGGAGGGAGGCAGAGCATGGGGCCTGAGCAGCTGAGCTGGGGGCCTCAGCTTGCCCTTCTCTGGGCCTCATGTCTCACAAATCTCCTGACTCAGGAGATTTAGATTGGAGAAGTTCTGTGCTCACTGGGAGGGAAGTCATTCTGGAAACCTCTCTCTACTTGACACACGGATGAAATGACCAGTTGAGGGGGTGGAGGTGGAAGAGGAGGCAGGTAGCTGAAATCCTAGGCTCTTGGAAGAAAGTCACTCCCGCTTAGCATCCTGGGGTCCATTGCAGGTGACAAGAGCTCCCAGAGGCTGAGCAGGCCTAGCTATGGCTCCATTTCCAGCCTGCCAGGCCCAGCATCTCAGCAAGTACCACCCCAGAAGACCTACTTGAATGAGAAGATTCCCATCCCCAGCACAGAGCAGGTAGGAATGCTGGCAACATCCTGAGGTCTTCCGGGGTCTACCAGCTCCTCTGAGGTCTTACAGTCCGGGGAGGGGGCATTTCCTGTGACCCACAACAGTGACTGCCTGGGTACTCTGGAGTTATCTGAAAAATAATCACATGGTTCTCAAGAGAACCTCAGCTTTCCCGTGAGGGGAAAGAGCCTGAGACCATTTTAGCACTAGAGGAAGGAACCACCCAGGGGAGAGCACAGGGGTGAAAGAGAAGCATCCGGCTGATTCTAGGATGCTGCTACCCAGTCTTGCCATAATCTTTCTTTTTAAAATGGATCACATTGTTTATTTTTGTGCATTTGTGTGTGCGTGTGTAGGTGTGCCCATGCTATTGCATGTATGTGTGTGCGTGTGCAGGTGTGCCCATGCTATTGCATGTATGTGTCTGCGTGTGTAGGTGTGCCCATGCTATTGCATGTATGTGTGTGCGTGTGTAGGTGTGTCCATGCTGTAGCATGCATGTGTGTGCGTGTGTAGGTGCGTCCATGCTATTGCATACATGTGTGTGCGTGTGTAGGGGTGTCCAAGCTATTGCATGTATGTGTGTGCGTGTGTAGGTGTGTCCATGCTGTAGCATGCATGTGTGTGCGTGTGTAGGTGCGTCCATGCTATTGCATACATGTGTGTGCATGTGTAGGTGTGTCCATGCTGTAGCATGCATGTGTGTGCGTGTGTAGGTGCGTCCATGCTATTGCATACATGTGTGTGCGTGTGTAGGTGTGTCCAAGCTATTGCATGCATGTGTGTGCGTGTGTAGGGGTGTCCAATCTATTGCATGCATGTGTGTGCGTGTGTAGGTGCGCCCATGCTGTAGCATGCATGTGGAGGTCAGAGGACAACTTGGGGGAACCAGTTCTTTCCTTCTACTATGTGGGTTCCAGGTTTGGTGGCAAGTGCTTTTACCCTCTGGGCACTGGATCAGTCTCTGCTGCCACCTTCTAAGCAGATTCCTAGTCCGACAGGTCAAACCCAGAAACAGGGCTGAGTGACTGCGACCTCAGTGGTCCCCAGAGATCAGTGCCTGTGGTATGAGAAAGGCTGGGGGAGGAGGATCTGGAACCGGGAGGTTTAATTACAACAAGGTCCCTCCCTGGGGACTCTGAGGTCTGTATGACAAGCACGCAAGAGGCAGGCAAGTCACATGTAGGCCAGCGGCAGACGTGACCCATCCAAAACGGCAGAGCCACAGTGACTCAGCATATCAGGGTGGAGGGCAGCACCATGTGGGTGATGGAGGACAGGGCCGGCCAGCCTGGGCTGAATTTGCCAAAGCCAGCCTCCACCACCCCCACATCTAAGATGGCCTGATTCTGCTTGCTCCCGCAGGGCACATTCAGCCTGAGGAAACTGTGGGCCTTCACGGGGCCTGGCTTCCTCATGAGCATCGCTTTCCTTGACCCAGGGAACATTGAGTCGGACCTTCAAGCCGGTGCTGTGGCTGGATTTAAAGTATTGAAGCTGGGCCTCTATGTTGGCTCTGTGGGGAGGGCCGCAGCATGTTGGTTAAGACCATACATGGGTGGTTTGCCTGGAAATAGGGATTAAGTTCAAGTGTCAAGCTTGTGCGTGTGTGGGGAATTGGGGAGGATGTCCCCCGGGAAGCCCCTCCAGAAAGGAGACTGTACTGCAGGGGATCTTTCCACCCCACCTATTCTCTGTCTGGGAGGCGCTGTCTTGGCTGAGGGTCTCCTTATTCCGTCACAGCTGCTCTGGGTGCTGCTATGGGCCACCGTGTTGGGCCTGCTCTGCCAGAGGCTGGCTGCCCGGCTAGGCGTGGTGACAGGCAAGGACTTGGGTGAAATCTGCCATCTCTACTACCCTAAGGTGAGCCAGGAAGAGACAGAGGGCTCATGGATGGGCAACACCTATGGGTCTCAAACCCTGAGCAGCTCCTTATAGCTTCCATTTAAAATAAATACGTTATCAGCTCCCGGGTATCACAAGCCCAGCTGGCGAAGAAAAACACAGTTCAGTTCATAGTCACGTAGCTCAGGCCTCGTCACTGCCCGGCTGGGGAACACCAAAGTTACACCATGAGGTATTTCAAAGGGATTTTTGTTTTATTCATTCACTTGGTTACTTTTTTTCCCCACAACTAGAGATTAAACCCAGGAGCTCCTAATGCTAGGATGAGCAATTTCCCACTGAGTTACTGCTCTAGCCCTTTCCAAATTTAACCCTGTCAGGAGTCAGAAGGGCTGAAGGCTCAAGGGCAGAAGGTGTCACTAAAGCTGACAGCCCCTTCCCCACACCATGGGCTCCCCAAAGCAGTCATTTGCTTCTAGAAGCTTGCAGCCAGGCTTAAATACCATGAGAACCACTGGTCTTCTACCCCACCCCACCCCACCCAAAAAAAGAAAGAAAAAGATTAGGCTAGGGTGTAACACAGTGATTGAGCATGCGCCTAGCATGCACAGGCCTGAGTGATTTTAACCAAATTGGAAAAAAAAAAAGACAAAACTCTGATTAGCTCAGATTTCTACATGTTCAAGGCACCAATTTCTGCTTGGCTTTGTTCTGGAGTGGGTACATAAAATTGGACCTAGGACTCAACAGTGCCCTGTCAAGCACTACCACACTGAGCTCCGTCTTCAGCCCTCTTGATCATTTTTTTGAGATGTGTTCTTACCAAACTGCCCCAGGTTGTCCTCTTCCTCCTGCCTTGGTTTCTGGGACGTCAGGCCTGTGTCACCGGGTCTGTCTTCTGCTCTAAAGGGTTCCTCTACATCTCAACATGAGACCAAGCTTCCAGGACACAAACCCTCACGAGACGTAAAAATCCCATGACAAAGCCCTTTAAGTGTGTCTTCTTTTGTTATTTTTGTTTTTCGAGAAAGGGTATCTCTGTGTAGCCCTGACTGTCCTGGAACTCACTCTGTAGACTCAGCAATCCACCTGCCTCTGCCTCCCGAGCGCTGCCGGAATTAAAGCCAGCTGACAAGCATAAAAGCCTGCAGGCTTCCAATTCCATAGCTCAGCGCAGAACACCACCAGGCAAGGGGAGAATGAGAAGCCCAGCAGCTAGCCTTCTTTTAAGGAAGCAACCTCTCCTCCCCTAGGTGCCCCGCACACTCCTCTGGCTGACCATCGAGCTAGCCATTGTGGGCTCAGACATGCAGGAAGTCATCGGCACGGCCATCTCCCTCAACCTGCTCTCAGCTGGACGGTACCACTAGCGAGCCCACCTCAGTCCAAAGCTGGCGGGAGCTGCTGTCTCCTCCCCCTGCCAAGGACCTCCCTGTGTCTTCTTTATCACCCCCATTCCTTACATGTAGGGCTGGTACGAATCTCTCTCAGAATGTGAGGTGACGCGTGTAAAATCACACACATGCGAGTCACATAGCACAGGTCGGGGCTCCCTGCCACTCCTGATCCCCCTACCTGGTTTGGCCCTTCCTGGGTGTCTACACAGGTTCAGCACACCCTACACTCCCCTCACCCTAGCTGTCCAGGCCACTTGGGGTCCTGACTCCCCACAGAGGGTTGGAACTCCAGACCTGGCCCATGCTGGGCTGACCTGACCTATGTGGTTTCAGCATCCCCCTGTGGGGCGGTGTCCTGATCACCATCGTAGACACGTTCTTCTTCCTCTTCCTGGATAACTACGGTGAGAGAAAGTCCCTCTTCTTAGGGGATGAGAGTGGGTAGGGCTGCCCTCATGGAGCCTTGCCTCTTCCCGGGGCCATGGGTCCCCCTTACTCCAGTTGTATGTCTTGAGCAAGGGCTTCCGGTTTCATCTTCTGTAACACGAGAAAGAACAGCCCGGACGTCACAGGGCTGTGGTGAGGTTTCAATGAGGAAAATATATGTTAAGCCCTTGGCCCAGTGCCTGGGATAAAGTGCTCCAAACAGTCACTCAGAGTGTTTATGGGGCAGAGGTTTGGAGTTTGTCTCTTACACTCCTTTGCCCTGCCCCTAGGACTGCGCAAGCTGGAAGCTTTCTTTGGATTTCTTATTACTATCATGGCTCTGACCTTCGGTTATGAGGTGGGAAAGAAATCAGAGCTACGCGTCCTTCCCTTCCTGGGGGTCTGGGGAGACAGCCCTTAGCTACACTACCTGCCTGCCTTTGGGATGGGGTTGAAAGGAGGGCAGTTTTAACGGGCTGACCAAGTTCCTTCCGACAGTATGTGGTAGCACGTCCATCCCAGGGAGCGCTTCTTCAGGGCGTGTTCCTGCCCTCCTGCCCGGGCTGCGGTCAGCCTGAGCTATTGCAGGCAGTGGGCATTGTTGGCGCCATTATCATGCCCCACAACATCTACCTGCACTCAGCCTTGGTCAAGGTGAGCGGGGGGAAGGGACGGAGGGTGGGAAGCCCGTGTCTGATCCTGGACCCCGGGCCTAGATAAGGATGGAGCCATTCTCTGCTGCTTCACTCACACAGCCTGTCACTGCGGAACGGACCTGTGGTAAGGGGAAAGATACAGGAGGGGGCAGTTGACCAGGACCTGAACCAGACACTACATAGGGGACCACCGTATAAATGTGGGGGCAGAGGCCATTGGGAGCCTCTCAGACACTTTGACCCTTCCCTCCACCTCTGACCTTCCTAGTCTAGAGAGGTAGACAGAACCCGCCAGGCAGACATTCGCGAAGCCAACATGTACTTCCTGATTGAAGCCACCATCGCCCTCTCTGTGTCCTTCATCATCAACCTCTTTGTTATGGCTGTGTTTGGTCAGGCCTTCTACCAGCAAACCAACGAGGAAGCGGTGAGCCGCGCTGGTCCTACGCACCAGCTGCATCTGTGTCCCCGCCATCCCATTTGCCCTCCAGCTTGGCCACGGGTTCCAGGTCCCACAGCCACATCCCCCAGAGCCTCTGCGGGACTCTGGGCTCTAGGGTCCTCTCTCCTCATCATCTCAGCTCCCAGGAGACAGGTGCCAAGCACTTTGTAACAGTGACAGAGCTGTTGCTTTAGTACCGGGCACCACCCGAGAGTCACAGGGGAGAGTGTGCTAGGAGTCCTGCACCTTGTGCTTGTGTGTACCACACCCAGGGATGATGTAGAGGACAGGAAGCCAGCCACCCACCCATGGGTGCTCTGGGAGGTTCAGAGTTGAAGCAGTACAGGCGGGGATGCCCAATGACCAATGACCGAGGCCAGGCTGGGGAGGGTCCCCTGAAATGACCTCTAGACGCAGGAGCTTCCTAGCTCCTCTTTGTTCTCTGGAGTCTAGATTTGGGTCTGTCACCCTCTAGGAGTAAATCCTCCTTCACAGGACTGTCACAATCCCAGTCAGTGCTACATAGGGCGGAGTTCTTTTTGTGAGTGACGTGGGGTAGGGTTGGGGCAGGGAGCAGCTGGAATTCCCTAATCCTTGCACTTGGAAGGTCTTGCTGCAGGTCCTGAGTGTGTGAGAGTGCACTCTCCCCACCGTGGATGTCACTGTACTGCCAAGCATGAGAAGAGTGGAGTGTAGGGGGGCTTTGTCTGTGTGTATGTCTGCAGGCCAGAAGAGGGCACCAGACCCCATTACAGATGGTTGTGAGCCACCATGTGGTTGCTGGGAATTGAACTCAGGATCTTTGGAAGAGCAGGCAATGCTCTTAACCTCTGAGCCATCTCTCCAGCCCCGTGAAGCTGCATTTTAAATACTAACAACAAATTCATAGGAAGGAAAATAAAAACACGCTGGGCCTGATGTCCCAAGCCTTTGAACCCAGAACTCTGAAGGCAGAGGCAGACAGATCTCTGTGAACTCAAGGCCAGACTGGTCCACACAGGGAGTTCCAAGACCCACAGGGTTACATAGAGATACTTTGGCAAAAAAAAAAAAAAAAAAGGAAGGAAGGAAAAGAAAGAAAGAAAGAAAGGAAAAACCATTATTAGGAAAGTATGTCTAGCAGAGCCTCAGGTTTAAAGTTGACCGAGGCCTGGGGTCCTGATTTTCCCACCTCCCTCCTACTGACCCCTGCCTGCAGTTCAACATCTGTGCCAACAGCAGCCTCCACAGCTACGCCAAGATCTTCCCTAGGGACAATCACACAGTGTCGGTGGACATTTACCAAGGAGTAAGTGCCCCTTGCCTGGTCACGCCTCAGGGGCGGGGCCTCTAGTGGGCGGGACCTCTGTCTGACCACACCTTCTGACCACACCTTCTCCCTCTAGGGTGTGATCCTAGGCTGTCTCTTTGGCCCTGCCGCCCTCTACATCTGGGCAGTGGGTCTCCTGGCAGCGGGGCAGAGTTCTACTATGACGGGCACCTATGCAGGACAGTTCGTGATGGAGGTGGGCACCGGCCAAGGGCAGCAGCCTCACTGCTGGAGGCTTGGACTATGGGCTTTTCGGAGTAGCAGAGGGGCGAGATGACAGACAGAATCCCCCAAGTTGTTCCATATTCAGCCACCAGTTATGGGAATCCTCCCTTTCCCGGAACTCATCTTCTACCCACCAGCAAGGATCAGAGCTGCCCGTTTCCAATATGGACAAACGTGGAGGGGGGCGGGGCCTGGGAAAACCGAGGCCAAACGGCCCCATCGGGGCGCTGGCTCCCTCTCAGGGCTTCCTGAAGCTGCGGTGGTCCCGCTTCGCACGTGTCCTCCTCACTCGCTCTTGTGCCATCCTGCCCACTGTGCTTGTGGCCATCTTCCGAGACCTGAGGGACCTCTCAGGCCTCAACGATCTACTCAACGTTCTGCAGAGTCTGCTGGTGAGAACCATGATCTAATTAGGAGCACAGTAGCTCCCCACCCCACCCCCAAAGAGCCCTCTAGGCTCTGCCCTAGACCCTTACAGGATGCTATAGCTACCCTAAGGAGCAAGAGTCCCCACTACCCCCATTCCACAGACGGAAAAACTGAGGAATGAAGGTAATTGACTGGAGGCTGAGCTCGCTTTCAAACCCCAGCGGCCCGAGGCCAAAGCGCTCCATCACTTCCTCCTGCTTTGAAAGGACCACAGATGAGAAAACTGCCCAGGGCTCTTAGGGAATTCCCCAAAGACTCCCGCCAGAGACGCAGCGCTCCCGGCTCCTGCTCCCTGCTGTACCAATGCGGGGCCCTCAACCTCCACTTCTCTCCACAGCTGCCCTTTGCTGTGCTGCCCATTTTGACTTTCACCAGCATGCCAGCCGTCATGCAGGAGTTTGCCAACGGCCTGTGAGTACCCACTCCGGAACCAGACCCTGGGACTGCCCTGGCACTCACAGCCAAGCAGAGGCAGGAACTACTGTCCTCGGCACCATCCCATGAAACCAAGGCCCCAAGACCTTAAAGAATCTGCCCAGTGTCTCACAGCTACTAACTATGGGAGCCAAGACTTGGTGGGGCTCCTTCTAGAACCTTTACCACACACCTCTTGCCAAGTCCTGCCAGTGCGGAGCCTGAAGGGTCCCCAAGTAGCCAATGGGGTCTGTCTGCGTCCCTGTCCCCAGTTCTGAGCTAGCCAAAGCTCCTGGGGGTTGAGATGGGGGTGGGGCGGAGATGATCCAGGTGGTCCGCGGCGTCCAGCCAGCAGGCCCTCAGAATCCTCCCATCCCCCAGGTTGAGCAAAGTTATCACGTCCTGCATCATGGCAGTCATCTGCGCCATCAACCTCTACTTTGTGGTCAGCTACCTGCCCAGCCTCCCGCACCCTGCCTTCTTTGGCCTTGTAGCTCTGTTGGCTGTGGGCTACTTGGGCCTTACAGCCTATCTGGTACGGGGGCTGCCAAGGGATAAGGGAGGGCGAGAGAGAGAGAGAGAGAGAGAGAGAGAGAGGGGGGGGGGCAGGGGGGCTTCGGCAGAGCTCTGGTCCCCCATCCATGGTCCTTTCCCAGGCCTGGACCTGTTGCATCGCCCACGGAGCCACCTTTCTGACTCACGGCTCCCACCAGCACTTCCTATACGGGCTCCCTAAAGAGGAGCAGGAAGACAGGGAGCGCTCTGGGTGAGCAGCACACTGGATCCAGAGAGCAAGGCCGCAGGATACAGCAAGGCAATTGGAGGTCGGCAACCCGGCTCTCGAGATTACAGGTTTCCCGTTTAGAGGAGGGGTTTACCTCAGAGTAAAGTATCCTCGGCTGTGCTAGGGACCACACCCATCTAACCACCAACCTAAAGGACTTAAAAACACAGTGCCCGAGGCTAGAGAGGTGGCTCGGCAGTTAAGAACACTGGCTGCTCTTTGGTCACCTTCGTGGTGGCTCTCAAGTGACTGTAACTCCAGTTCCAGGTAGTCCAACGCCCTCTTCTGGCGACCTACACTGGCACTGTCTGCACAAGGCGCACAGACAAACATTCAGGCAGGGCACCCATATACATAAAGATTACCTAAGAACAAAACAGTGTGTGCTGCTTGGTTCCTAAAAGATAATCCAAAACCTATTCCACGCAATCTTGTAATCCTAGACTGAGGCAGTAGACAGTCAGACCACCTCATCAAAACAAGGCAACTCCATTGTCTCACTTGGAAGGCAGAGGCAGGAGGCTTAAGGAGTTCTAGATCATTCTCTTGCTGTATAGTCCAAGGCCAGCCTGGGCTACAAGAGGGCCAGTCTCAAGAAGGAAAAGGAAACTTAAAACAGTCCGACGACTGAACAGCAGCTCCCCTCTGTTCCAAAGCCCTGGAAAAATGTAAACTTCAAATACTCCCCCCACCCCCCACCCCGCGCTCAAATGTCTGATTATCTCCTCCTCTTCTGTTGTTCCTTCAACCCATTTCCCAGGCCGTAAAACCTAGAAACGAATCCTTCTCTTTCAGGAACCAGGGCATAAAAAAAAAAAAAAAAAAAAAACCAAAAGTCTGTGCCTTCAAGGCCCAGTTCATTTGCCGTCTCCCCAGGGGACAAGGCTGACCTGACTCCCACGCAGTGCTATTAGGGTTTCCTGCACTAGCCTCTCAGCTCCCCCTGGGGGCAGGGACTCTCCCGAGCGCCCACACTCCGGCCTAAGCCCTGCGGTCCCTCAGGGGCAAGCGGAACTCAGGTGAGCAGGCGGGTGCTCTCCGAGGGCTGTGGTACTAGCGTGGGCAGGGAATCCCGTCCTCCGCAGAAGAGCGGTCCGGCACCCTTCGCCCTGTGTAGAGCTAGCACTTTGCAGACGCTCCCTAGACAGTTTCTAGGCTCCCCTAAGTCCCTCCTCCCGACTCCTCGGGCTCCTCGAACCCTAGCCTGGAACAGCCCGGAGCTGCACCGAGGAAGGGGCGTCCACCGAGCCTTTCCCCGGGGTTGAGCCTGTGGGAGGTTGGGTTCGCTGTCTGAAAGTAGCGCCCATTACCCGGAATCCAGCTGGGGAGGCTCAGATTGGGGCGCTTGTTTATGAAAAGAATTTCCTCCTTCTTAAAAGGGCAACGAGAAGAGTGGGGCCCCCAAAAGGAGCGGCGGAGGGACAGAGTGGCGCCACCCCGACAGCTGCCAGAGAGGGTGCCCGGGCAAGAGTACCTCCCCATGCCTTGGTGCTCCCTCCCCCCTGGAGAAGGTGGGACCTGAGATAGCGAAAGGGGTAGGGAGCTATTGAGGAAGGCTTCTCCCAGATTCCCCTTCGGTTCTTCCTCAACTTGCTGCACATGCTGGGAATTCACTTGGCGTTCATTGGGTGACTTTTTTGTAGTAGGCCCTGTGCTAGCAGTGGAAGAGAGGTGAAGTCCCGAATTAAAGAGGATGTCAGCTGTCAAAGAGTCTCACGGGAAGGAGTCGGGGTGGGGCTAAATAAACAAGAACAGGGACAGGATGAGGCCGGACAGCTGACCCAGTGAGTTCAGGGAGAAGCCCCCCCCCCCCCCCCCCCCCCCCCCCAGCACACGATTCTGAAAGTTAAGTAAGAAAGGGCTGTCCGTTAGCGTTCCCGGAGTGCACAGTTCTCAGATGCTGTGGACTGGAGCTGGGGGACCCGGAAGGATGGAAGGCTGATCATAGGAATAAGTAAGTCTAGGATTTAGAATTGGGCGCCGAGAAGGTAAATTTGGCTCAGATGACTTGCTTCTAGCACCCCAGACAGGGAATGGCATATGGCAGCTCACAAAAGCCTGGAACTCCAGCTCCAGGGGAACGTGGCACTCTTCTAGCCTCTAGAGGCTTCCTAACACTGGCGGCATACGCTAACATACATGAAAATAAATCTCCCTCGGGCACTGCGGCACACACCTTAACATCAGAGCTCTGGAGGCAGAAGCAGGCACATCTCTACACATCCGAGGCAGGCCAGCAAAAGGTATCTCAAAATATCAATAATTATAATAATGAAAATAAGTATTGGGCCCGGTGAGGTGGCTCAGCGGGTAAAGCCACCGTCCCTGAGGACCAGAGTGCAGTCTTTGGGCCCCACATGTGTGGATTTTCTGACTCCACACACGTATTGTGGCATGTGTTCACACACAAAAAAATAAAATATAGTGATTTTTAAAAACTTTTTTTTTCTTTTTCTTCTTCTCTCCTCCCCACCCAACCACCTCAAAACAGGGTTTCTCTGTGTATAGCCTTGGCTGTCCTGGAACTCACTCTGTAGACCAGGCTGGCCTCAAACTCACAGAGATCCACCTGCCTCTGCATCCCAAGTGCTGGGATTAAAGGCATGTGACACCATCAGCAGCGAGTTGATTTTTCCCCCCTGATTTTTAAAACTCTTTTTTAAAGATGAGGGTCAGTAGGGGTTACTGAGGCCCAGGGTCAGGGATGAGGGTCCAGGTCTAGGGTCAAGTGTTTCCGGCCAGAGGCCATCTCTGTGGCAGACCCTGATGAAAAACTCTCATTGGATTTACAGAAGGAGGAGGACTACCTTAGAGTTTCACCTGAAGCTCCTTAGGCGCTAGGTGGGGCTGGTCCTCCACCTGCCCCATTCTGTAAATGGGAGCGGGAGGGGAAACGAAGGGAACCTTGTCTCAGTTGCCCTACAGGATCCTGTTTCCCGCCCCCTTCCCCGCCCCTGCCCGGGCTAGCGGCCCATACTATTGTTTTCTCTTGGGTATGCAGCCATAAAATTAATAAAACGTAGTAGACTGTGTGGGTAAAAGCCCCCTCCCCAACTGCTGGGGGGAGAGTAAAACAGTAGCAGAGATGGAGCCATGCTCCCCTCCGGACTGGGGCTGTGATTTTTCACGGTACAGTGCCCAGCACCGGGGCACGGAGGAGTAACAGAGCTTCTAGTGGCACACGCCTTTTAATCCCAGCACTTGTAAGGCAGAGGCAGGCGGATCTCTGTGAGTTCGAGACCAGCCTGGTCTACAAGAGCTACTTCCAGGACAGGCTCCAAAACCACAGAGAAAACCCTGTCTCGAAAAAAACAAAAAAAAAAAAAAAAAGTGAGCCCGGGGCTGTTCCCCCCCTTTGTTGGGGGGGGCGGGGGTAGCTCCTGAGGGTTGATGTGAATTTAGGTGGAGGGTTTGTGGAGTGTCCAGGGTAGCGGGGTTAGGGAACAATGGGAAGGAAAGGCAGCCAGCCATCCGGTATTCAACCTGGGTCACACATTTCCCTTTGGGGGACAGTGAGGGCCCTGGCTGAGGAAAGCTGAGGCTCCCCAGGGTGCACCTGGCCAAGAAGGAGGTCTCCGAAGAGAGGCCGGAGAGTCTGGGTTTGTGCCTTCACTTTTTTCATGCTGTTTTCCTCTTCTGCCAAAAAACAAAAAACAAAAAAACAAGGGGCTGGAGAAATGGCTCAGAGGTTAAGAGCATTGCCTGCTCTTCCAAAGGTCCTGAGTTCAATTCCCAGCAACCACATGGTGGCTCACAACCATCTGTAATGGGGGTCTGGTGCCCTCTTCTGGCCTGCAGGGATACACACAGACAGAATATTGTATACATAACAAAAACAAAAACAAAACGCAAGAAGGATTTCGTTCCAAGGAGTAACATTTAGGACAGGCGCCCCAGGGCACCAACACGTGGGAGGGAAGGAGCGTAAGGGTGGCAGCCCTGGGGGGTCCCGGAGAGCAGACGCAGGGGTCGGAGATGAGCGTCCCCACACTCCCTGCTGATCCCAGGTGCTGAGCTGGCGCGCCTGCAGAGCAGCGAGCGCACGGCGGGCCAGGCCCCCCAGCCCGTTTCCGACTGGGCTGCGACGGGGCGCGCCCGCCCAGCTCCGCCCCAGTGCCTGGGGGGAGGAAGTGGCGAGGCGTGCGTGTCAGGGCTTGGCGTTCGTAGTTTTTTAAATTACGACAAATGAAAGAAACTTTTGTAAGACAGGAAAAATAAAAATAAACGAACCGCAACCTTCGAGGGGCGCAAATGGGCGCTTCCTGCGAGAAGGACCCTGTATGTAAACGCAGGACCTAGGCAATGGCTAGGGTGTGTCACCACCACAAAATCCGGTGACGCGTGTGTTTAAAATCTGAATAGTTGCAGTCTCAGGCGCCCAAGGGGCGGATTCTGGGCCCTCCCTCTGCGGGCGGTCCCCACGGACACTTGGGAACACAGCCAGCACTGGAAACTGGCCTCTTAAATAATCAGATAGGGACGGCGGGGGTGGGGGGGGGTGGGGGGCCTTTAAACAAGGTGGTATTTCTTCTAGAACGTTGGGATTTGGCTCTGCCAAGGACGAGGAGGCACGTTTCCAAGCCGAAGGAACAGCAAGTACAAGAAACAAGGCCCCTGAGCTACGGAGGCTCAGGTTTTGCCGGGGGGGGGGGGGGGGGGGGGGGGGGGGGGGGGGGGGGGGGACGGACGCCAAATGGCTTGGACCGGGGAAGAGGGCTAGATTTGCCACAGGTCAGTAGGTAAAGCTAGGCACAGAAGTGGAATTTTTTCACATCCTGTGATGCCCCCGAGGACTGCGGTGAGTGCTGAGTTAGAGGTGGATCAAGAACACAATTCGGGACTGAAGAGGTGGCTCAGCCGTTAGGAGAATGCACTGCGGGGGGGGGGGGGGGGGGGGATCCGCTAACTCCAGCTCTAGGGGATCTGATGCCATCTTCTGGCCACCGTAGGCCCTGGCATACATACACATACACAGAAATCTGTAAATCTTTCTAGGATTCCATAATTTGATGAGTTTGCACAACTGGAACTAGCAAAGAGTGCCTTTTTCTCACTCACGATATCCACAGCGTTAGTTAGACAATACCCACTGTAGGGGCGGCAAGAAGGCTTAGGGGGTATAGGTGCGTGCTGGTGAGTCTGACCACCTGAGTTTGATTGCCATCCCTAGGTGGAAGAAGAGAACTTCTGGTCTCCACTCTTGGGGCGCGCATCCCTCCCATACACAAATAAGTATAATTTAAAGGCTTATTGGGTGGGGGGGGGGGCTGAAAAGATGGCTCAAGGGCATTTGCTACTCTTGAAAGGACGGGGTGTCCGTTCCTAAGATCCACATAGTGGCTTACAACCATCTGTTAACTCCAGTTC